CTTGACCAATCAGAATTTTATCCGCATTGACCAATCATAATCATTAATATTTCACGTGATTTGCCTCCGCTCTAGACCAAATTTCCTGCAATACCCCTTAATCCGCTTAAACGCTGGTGCGTTTCTTTTGCCGTTTTTTAATGAGTAAAGAAAGCTAAGCTTCTATAAGTAAATGGCGCAACTTACCTTAGAAAAACGTGCTCAAGCAATTGCATTACTTGACGTTGGTTATGAAATTGCTCGTCGCTTTAATGTCCACCATTCAATCATACTAAGATTTAAAGAAAAAGCCAAATAAACCAAAGGTGTCAAAAATAGGCCTCGTTGTGGTCGTCCTCAAAAACTTACTATACGTGATAAACGAACACTTGTTCGTCGAATTACAACTAATGAATGTTCCAATGCAGTCCAACTTAGAAAGTCGTTATTAACCCATGAAAAAAAAGATGTAAATGTAAGTACCATACATAGAGCATTACATAGTGGTTTGGTGGCACGAGTAAAGTGAAAAAAAAACCATATTTATCAGATATACATCGTCAAAAACGACTCGACTTCGCAAACAAATATAAGAACTGGAAACTCGATGATTGGTACAGAGTAATATGAATTCAAATTTCAAATATTTGGATCCGGTGGACGTCAATATTACTGGAAAAGACCAAACGACCCGTTAAAAAGCTCGCATGTTCAACCTACAATGAAGTTTGGTGGTGGTAGTATAATGATATGGGGGTGTAGGGTACGGGATATCTTCGTAAGATCGTTGGAACGATGAATGGCAAATATTATCGACAAATTCTTTCAGATGAATTCTTAGTAACGCTAGATTTATATAATTTAAAACTAAATGAATTACACTGCGGGTGATACGTTAAAATGGTTCGCTAATAATAATATAACCGTCTTAAGCTGGCCACCACAATCACCTGACCTAAATCCGATTGAACATCTTTGGCGAGAAGTAGATCTTTGTCTTCGTGAACTTCCGGAGGATATGGAAGCTGAAATTAAGCTCCATCGAAGATTAAAAGAACTTGACTTAGTATGAAGAAACGATAACCAATTAGAAAGAATGAAGTGAGGACCATATATGATAGGCAAGACACCAAAGTCAACTTATTATGATAAATATGGTCCAAATGGCTCATTAATTAAAGCAGCAGCTGGCACCAAAAAAATTACGAGTTTTTTTAAGATTAGCGATACCCAAGTTATCGATTCACAATTACCTAAGCCTGGTGTATTAGAAGATGCTTCAAGTGATTCAGAAAGCGAGATTATTAATCTGTACACTTATCAAATACCTAAAAAAATAAAAGAGTTAAAAGAGCATTTAGAAAAACATGCTCAATTAACCGTCTTCGAGTATAATAATAAAAGAGTTATCTTTGAATATCTTACCTTGTTAAATACTAATGATGGCCGTGGAAGAATTGGTATCAGTTTAGAGGTCACCCAAAAAATTTTTATTGATGGTGGTGTGTGAAAAGCATGAAAAATTTGGAATCTTACAAAGTACTGGTTACTTAATAATAAACTTCCAGCATCTCAACATGGAAAATAATTAGAGTAATCGATGATGAAGATGTTGTAGAAAGATGCCATACTTGAATTCGAGAACAAAATTTCGATACCACACCAGCAGTATTTAAAAAATTTGTTGAGAACGAATTATTTTCTAGCATTGGAATCGCCAAAGAAAAAACTATTACTTTAATGACTGCAATAAGGTGGCTTAAGATTCTTGGCTATTCGTTCCAACAATATCGCCATGGGATATATTATGATGAGCATGAGAAAGATGATGTTCTGCGATATTGAAAAGAATTCCTAGAAAAAATGTTCGAGCATGAGAAATACATGTTCAAATACGAAGATGAATCTATGAACCGAATACGTCCTGACTTACCTGAAGGAGAGAAAGAGAGAGTCTTTATAGTTCATGACGAATGCATTTTTTATTCAAACGATGGCAAATGCAGAGTATGGACTAAAGATGGTGAGATGTCACTACGAAAAAAAGGAAACGGGAGATCAATTATGGTTAGTGAATTTCTAACTGAGATTGATAGATGTCTATGCTTGTAGCAAGCTGATAAAGAAAAAAATCCCTATATACCTGAAGAGGCACGATATTACTTAAAATCTGACATAAATCAAGAAGATTATTGGACAGTGAAGCATTTTCTCGAACAAATTGAATACAAAGCAATTCCCATTTTTGAGGCATTATATCCGGACTGCGTGGCCGTATTCACTTTTGATAATAGCTCTAACCACGCTATGTTTAGCAAAGATGCTTTGATCGCAAGCTGAATGAACTTAAATCCAGGTGGCAAACAATCAATTATGCGGGACACCTATTTTGGACAAAATAACCAGCTACAATCAATGATGTTTCCAATAACACATCATGATGAGAAACTTCGAGGTACGTCTAAGGGAATTAAGCAAGTGTTGATAGAACATGAAAAATGGTCACCTGAAGGATTAGTATTAGAATGCAACAAATGCAAAGAAAAAAGTCAAGATATTTCAAGAACTTCTTGTTGTGCACGTCGAGTAATATCCTTGGAGTCTGATTTTCTTGCTCAAAAAGGTGCTATTGAGGAGTTAATTGAAAATGCAGGACATAAATGCATTTTTTTTCCGAAGTTTCACTGTGAGTTAAATTTTATTGAAAGATATTGTGGAGCTGCCAAATGACATTCGCGTGAAAATTGTGATTATTCGTGACAGGGATTACAAAAAATGGTTCCTGAAAGTCTTGATTCAGTACCCTTAACGACTATTAGAAAGTTCTCAAGAAAATGTTGGCGCTACATGTAAGGATGCTTGCCGAAATTCAGGAATTTCGGCAACCTGTCAAGCCAAAATTATTAAATACTATTTCGACAAATAAAATTTAATTGTCGAAATGCCGAAATTCAAAGTTATGTCGAAATTTAAA